GACATCTTGCAACTTATATCACCTGTTATTTCTGAAGAAGTGAATTCAAGACTGATTGCTGCTGTTGATGAAGCTGAGATTAAGGATGCTTTATTTGCTATGAATCCTAATAAGGCACCTGGAGAAGATGGTATGACTCCTCTATTCTTCCAGCACTTCTGGCCACTCATTAAAGGTGATCTCTATGCAGCTATCTTAAATTTCTTTCATACTGGTAGGATGATGAGGAGTTGGAATCATATTGTGATAACATTAATCCCAAAATGTGAAAATCCTGAATCTGTTAACCACTATAGACCCATAAGTCTATGCTCAGTTTCTTACAAGATCATTGCAAAGGTTTTAGCTGCTAGAATGAAAGACTGACTAAACTTATGTGTGAGTGAAACACAGTCAGCCTTTATTCCTGAAAGACAACTTTTGGACAATGTGGTAGTTGCTCATGAAGTCATACACTATCTGAATAGACATAGGGTGGGGAAGAAAAGTTTTATGGCTGTGAAACTAGATATGATGAAGGCTTATGATTGTGTTGAGTGGAACTGTTTGATTAAACTGATGAAGAAACTGGGGTTCAGCCCTGTGTTTGTGAGATGGATATTTGCTTGTATATCATCTTCTGTTTCCTCTTTGAATATTAATGGCAAGGTGACTGGGTTTGTGGTGCCTTCTCGAGGTCCCAGACAAGGAGATCCTCTATCTCCTTATCTGTTCTTGTTGGTGTCTGAGATCTTTACCAAAATGATTGGGTATGCTGTTAGGAGTGGAGATATGCAAGGGTTGAAAATTGTGAAGGGTGGGACTGTTCTGTCTCATCTAATGTTTGCGGATGATACTCTACTCTTTTGTGCTGCGGATTCACATAATGCCATTAATCTGCTCAGAATTCTAGTTGCTTATCAAATATTTACAGGGCAGACAGTTAATCTATCTAAATCATCATTTTTCTTCAGTAAAAATGCTTCTGTGGGGCTTAAAGCTGAAATTTGTCAATGCCTACAAGGAATTGAGGTATGTCACTCCTCTAGATACCTTGGTCTACCTTTGGGTATTGGTAAAAATAAAAGAGAAATGTTTGAATATGTTACTGTGGCTGTGAAAAAGAAGATTGTTAGTTGGAAAAACAGGTTCTTATCCTTTGCTGGTAAGGAGATTTTATTGAAATCTGTGCTCTCAGCTTTGCCAATTTTTGTGATGTCTTGTTTATGTTTGCCGGCTGTTGTATGTAAGGAAATAGCACAGTTATGTGCTAACTTTTGGTGGTCATCTGGTAAGGAGCATCAGTCTGGAGTACATTGGCTTGCTTGGCAGAAAGCTACAACCCCTAAATCTGCAGGAGGACTTGGGTTTTAAGATTTCAGGATTTTTAATGATTCTCTGATTTTGAAACAGATTTGGAGGTTACTGACCAAGCCAAACTGTCTTATGACCAGAATATTAAGAGAGAAATATTTTCCAAATGACTGTGTGTTGAATGCTAAAAGGAGGTCCTCTGCATCTTGGCTTTGGAATTCTTGGATGAAGATTATGAATATACACAAGAACAGTTTCAGGAAGCAAGTGAGTGATGGGGTTAGTACTAAAATTCTTTCTGATCCTTGGGTGTTGGGTACCAGAACAGGTGTTCCATGCTTTAATCAGAATATTGATCAATCTCAGGTGACTTGGGTTTGGGAGTTAATTTCTGATTCTGGGAGATCTTGGAACTGTGAATTATTGCAACATTTGTTTACACCAGAATCTTGTACTGCCATTTCGAATATGAAAACTCTGAACCCTGAGACCAGAGACAGATGGATCTGGTATCCTGATTCTAAGGGCATTTTCTCTGTCGCTTCTGCCTATAAGACAGCTATTGATCATAAGGTCTTGCAGTTAGACTCTCCTAGCTGTAGCTACACTCTGACTTTGGATAGAAAAGCAAGAATGATGTGCTGGACACTGAGAGTTAAACCAAAGTTGAGACACTTCCTATGGAAATGTTTTACTAATAACTTACCAGTTGCTCTTAACCTGCAGCAGAGGAGAATGGAAGTTGATCTTGTGTGTAGTTGCTGTGGGGATGGTTTGGAATCTGTAACTCACATATTTTTTGAATGTAGAAGAGCTCAGATGGTTTGGAAAGCAACTCCTTTATCTTGGGACTTCACTGAAGCTAAGACAACAGGATTTAGAGGCTGGTGGTGGAATATTGCTGAGATGAAGATGAATCCAGTCACTGAAGCTCGTATTTCATTGTCCACCTATATCTTATGGTGGCTATGGATGTCCCGAAACCTTTGGATCTTCAAAAAAGAGTGGTTACCAGAAGTGACTATCTCCAAGATGGCTCAAAGAGAGTGGTCCGAGGCCTCAAGCTATGTTTAATCTTGTTTTCTATTTTTTTTACTGATTCCCTTTGCTTTGTTGGTAGTTAGTAGTCTGTATTGTCCATAGCTAGGTCCTTTACGGTTCAGTGGCTTGGATTTTCTGTTGTTGTTGGTTTCTTAGTTTGCGTTGTTTTCTTCTTTAGTGCACAGGTTGTCTAACCTTGGTTATGCCTGTTGTGCTTGTTGTTATTGTTCTAGGCCACCAGTAGGGTGTGGTTCTCTGGGTTGTATTATGGCTAGTTGGCCATCCGGTTGTAAACTTTCTATTTATTTGAGTAAAATTATTGTTTGGAAAAAAAAAAAGAATTGCCTTCTTACATTGAATCTGATTGTGTTACATGCTTCTTCAGTTATTATTTTTTTTTTTTGGCATAGTTTATTGCGATAGACTAATACTCGGTTGGATGTTATTAGTGCTTATCACCCGCAGATGGACGGTCAAACCAAGGTCGTCAATCGCTCGCTTGGCAATTTGTTGCATTGTTTGGTCGGTGAGAATTTATGCCATGGGATACTAGACTCGGTCAGGCCTAGTTCGTTCATAATTTTGTTGTAAGTCGCAACACTCGTTCTCGCCTTTTCAGGCTGTGTATACGGTCCTGTCTCGAGGCCCACCGACCTTGCAGCCTTGCCTTCTTCGGACCCTATAGATCAAAGGGCTTTGGATTTGATTGAGGCACTGCGAGACAAACACATGAAGCCATGGGCGATAAACTTGAGGCCTCTTATGCATCGTATATGTGGCAAGCTAATGCTCATCGTCGCCTTGTGAAATTTGAGATTTGAAATTTTGTGTGGACTATCAACTTATCTAAGGATCGATTCTCTGCTCGTGAGTATAATAAGTTGAATGCTCGTAAAATCGGGTCGGTCGAGATTATAATAAGCACCTGGTGCCTTTCCGTGGTGATAATTCCGATGGAGATGAATTTGCTTATGATTCGAGAGCGAATCATTTTCATGAGGGGGAGAATGATGGGTATGAGATTGCATTGAGTTTTCTGAACAAGCAGATCGTTTATCATCATTAGTCTAGTTATTTTATAGATTTATTTTCGTTGTTATTTTAAGTATTTTTATTCTTTTATGTAGCCAATATTTTTATTTTAGTGGAACTCTTTTGAGAGAAGTATTTAAGACTTTCACTCCATTGTTAGGTTATAATATGAAGTCTTTTTTTTTTACGTTTAAATATCAGTAATTACTAATTACTGAACATATCTTTGCAAGTGATAATAATTGCGAAAGGCAGAGTAAGATTAGATCGCAAATACTTAGGTGCGCTCTGACACACCTAGCAAGGTGTGCCAAAACTTTTTTAAAATGAACATATTACTTTATAAAATAAACACGTGTAAACAGTAACACTGAGGTTAGATTCATGAACTGTGATTCTGTGGCTGTGTGGCAAAGGGCTCTTTAGTCTTTTTATTCCCGTCAAGGGTATGGCAGTGCAGTACACATAATCATTATGGGATATAATTCACTTAATAAATGCAATATCCTAGAAACATGCAAACCTGCCTGATTATTCGCAAATTTAATAATTCTCAAATACAACCCCAAAATGTCCTTGGTAATTGGGAAACACTGCACATCACATCACTCCATATAGTCAAGTCCAATTTTCTGACCACCGCCTCCTTATTCAATTCAAAAAAACACACATGTCCATAAACCAAACCCCATGTATTTTCAATAAATCCTAGTACTACTAGTACTGTCATTTTCTATTTGAACATTATTATTTTATGGAGATTCTATTGTTTTCGTTATTGAATTATTTTGTCGGAGTTTGTAACCGTTAAATCAATTATTCCCGATAATTACATAATAATTTAATAGTTATAAACCCTGACAAAATGGGTTCGTAGCAAAACTGTAACATTTCCTATTATTTTCATACACGAACATCTACATATTTCATAAAATAATATAAAGCAAATTTGTAAATTTAATTCTTTTGATTTGATCGATCCGATAGCGTTTTCAGTTCAAAAAATTGAACATTTTTGTTGTTTGATCCTAAATTCAATGCAATCTTCTTTTGGGACTGAAAATACAACAAAAATTAAAATTACAGGATTTAAATTACTATAAAAAATCTTTTTATTTTTCTAAAAGATTTTTTATTATCAATTTAAGTCTTCTAATTTTAAATTTTGTTGCAATTTCAGTCTTTTAGACTCAAATTACAGCAAAATATTAAATCACAAGATCAAAAGACAGAAAGTTAAAATTTTGAAACTAAAAATGCTACAGAGTTATACCAGGAGGACTAAAAATGCAATTTTACCATAATATAATTACACAAACTAGATGGATTAGCAAATCTTTGATTTTTGCCAATTTTCACTTCAACGGATACATAGATAAAATAAATAACCTGCGTTTTGCACCTATACACATACTTTTGATTGAAGGCAAAATATAACAACAATCCACGGTCCACACCCTAAACTTTTAATACTACAAACCAAGAAGTTATTAAAACAAAAGAAAACAAACAACGAAAAAGTCCAAACATCAAACAAACAAACATACGGCACACGAACTAGCTTACACTAAAATTCAAATAAAACTAAATAAACCCATCTCTCAAGCTCCCAATAGACTGACTGCACTTCAATTTCAAATGCTGAGGAGATCTGGCACAACCGGTGATTGAGGAGACTCCAAACCCGATTTCGGTTGCGTCGAATCCGAATCCTTTAAGTCTCCTGGTTTTGCACCGGGCGGCTTGGGAAGCTCTGTCAGTATCTGCACCACCTCACGCATGGTGGGCCGCTCAACCGCCTGCTCCTCCACACAGAGCATCGCCACATAAAAGACATGCATCACCTCATGGAGTGGGACAGTCGAGAGCCTCGGGTCGAGGATCTTGATCACGCCTTCGGTGGCCCCATCCGTCATTCTCCGGACCCACTGGACTATGTCCACACCGTCACCGAACTCACCAACAGGCTTTCGACCCGTGACGAGTTCCAAGAGAACGACCCCAAAGCTGTACACGTCACTCTTTTCGTCCACCCTAAGTGTGTAGGCGTATTCTACGAGAAATAAAAAAATGAGCAATTTAGTAACATGCTGATATATGTACTATAGAAATTGAAGTAAATATTACATAGAAGAATCCAACCAATGAGTAATATGTTGCACTTGGTTTTGGGGTTGATTTGGGCTATAGCTAGGCCGTAATAAAAGTGCATAAACCGATTAACCCACCAATCGAATTAGGTCATTCAAATATCATCTAAATGCCAAATACCGAATAACAAATGCTGAAGCCAAATGAAACAAATTGAAAATGAAATGTGCATATGCATACACCTAATTGAAACTATAATGGCATGAAAGGGACTGAACTTCAAAGAGATACTGGGAAACCAATGATTTGCTAAAGATTTTACCTCAAGACTATGCAATCAGTGAAAAGTAAACCCGAAGTAAGCGAAAGTTGACAACATCACCGAAAAAATTAAGCAGTTCCAAACAGCATGTAAGTTACCCCCACCGAAGAAATTAGAATGCTACAAATAAGGAAGTTTAATTATATACTGACAAATTAAGTAAATATACCGTACCGGGAGCAATGTAGCCATAAGAACCAGCAATGGCTGACATACATTCGGACGTCCCAGAATCCTGCAAGAACTTGGCCAACCCAAAATCAGCAACATGGGCTTCGAAGCCTGAATCCAGAAGTATGTTATTCGACTTGACATCACGGTGGACGATCAAAGGCGAGCAGTCGTGATGCAGATAGCAGAGGCCCTTGGCGGCCTCCACTGCTATCTTGTACCGTGTGTCCCAATGCAAGTGGCCACCTTTCTTGCCATGGAGCATCTCCCCCAGGCTCCCGTTGGGCATGTACTCATAAACCAGAAGGTTTGTCTCATGATTCGAACAGAACCCCAGTAAACGAACAATGTGTCTGTGCCTGATCCTCCCTAGAGTCTGTATCTCGGCACTAAAGCCGTGGTCGTGGTGGGAGGAGCCGCGACCCATTGCCGCCAGCCGCTTGACAGCCACTAATTCCCCATTCGGCATCACACCCTTGTAAACAATGCCAGCCCCGCCCTTGCCTATGATGTTGTCCTCTTTGAGGCTGTCCAAGATGTCATCGCAAGTGAAGTCCAAACGTTGGAAGGCCGTGAGCTTCCAGGAACGGGCCTCGCTCGCCTTCTTCAACGACCGCGCCTTGATAATGGCGGCCACAGCAAACACGATAGAGCAAACGAGCAGTCCAATCACGAGGAGAAGCTTGGTGGAGGGGGAGAAAGTCCCCTTTTCGTGCGGCCTCATGGGCCCACCGGAAATGCCCGCCTTGCAGGACCCCAAATACGGGCCGCAAAGATCAGGGTTGCCCAGAAAAGAAGTGTAATTGAAGTAGCTAAACTGGCCAGTCCCAGGAACCAAACCAGAGAGATTGTTATATGAGAAATCGACAGAAGTTAAACTCTGCATGCTAGCTATGGATGAGGGAATGCCACCCACCAAATGATTTCTAGACACATTCAAGTAGTTCAAGATTCTCATACCAGTGATCTCTGATGGGATTTCACCGGACAGCTGGTTCCGGCTCAGGTCAACGAACGTCAACAGCTTACATTCACTGATCTCCGGGGCAATGCGGCCCGAGAACTCGTTGTGGCTCAAATCCATCTTTGAGAGCTGCTTTAGATTCCCGATTTTAGCTGGGATTGGGCCCGAAAATTTGTTTCCATCGAGCAAGAGCTTCTGAACACCAACAAAATTCCCAATGCTCGGCGTCAAAGGCCCGGTGAGTTGATTGTTGGAGAGAGTAATTTGCCCGAGACTCGTGAACTTTCCATCGGTCTCTGGGAAAGGACCAGATAGGAGATTATCTTGGAGCTCAATTTGAGTGAGTTTAGGCAAACTTAAGAGCCCTTTTGGAATGGAGCCGTTAAGATAGTTATCACCCATTCGAATTCGACTCAGTGACTCGCATTGACCCAGTGAGTCAGGAATGGGGCCGATGAGGAAATTTCCTAGAGTGATTAATGTGTGCAGCTGATTGCCTTTACATATACTTTGGGGCAAATTTCCAGTCAGTTTGTTCGAACTAACATCGACTTCCTGAAGGTTCCCATTACTTCCCAAGTTGGGAGGAATAATCCCAGTGAAATTATTCTCCCACAACTGCAGAACTTGTAGCTCCGGCAGCTCGGCGATAAAATCAGGGATAGAGCCGGTGAGCTTGTTCCTGAAAAGGTTTAAGAGGGTCAGGTTTTTTAGCTCCGCAAACGACGGCGGAATTTCACCAGAAAACATGTTGTTGGACAGATCCAGCGATCTCAAGCTCTTCAGGTAGCCAATCTCCGACGCCAGGCCGCCGGAAAGTGCATTTACCTGGAGAAAAAGAGTGTCGAGGTTCTGCAGATTCCCTATCTCCGGCGGGATCTCACCAGTAAGCCCGCAGTTGGCGGCGTCGAATTTCACCAACTGGGACAATTTCCCAATCTCCTTGGGGATTCCGCCGGTGAATGCATTGTAATACCCAATGTAAAGCTCCTTGAGCTGAGTCAAGTTCCCGATCTCCGGCGGTATGGATCCGGTTAGCTCGTTACCGGAAACAGCCAGGTACTCGAGGTGAGGGAACGAACCGAACTCCGCCGGCAGGGAACCGTTGAAGAAGTTGCCGCCGAGATGGAGGTGGGTAAGATTGGTGAGTAAATACGCCTGCGAGGGGAAAGCGCCGGTCAGATTGTTGTTATACAGATCCAGGACCTGGAGGTTCCTGAGGCGGTAAAGCTGCGGCGGGAAGCTAAGGTTGAAGACATTGTTGGAGAGATTGAGGTAGCGAAGGCTGGGGATGTCCGCGATTTGGGGAGGAATGGGGCCGGAGATGCTATTGGAGGCGACGGAGAGGTTCACGAGGAACCGGAGCTGGCCGACGTCCGGGGAGAGGGCCCCGACGAGATCGAGGCTGGAGATGTCCAGCGCAGTCACGTGCCTGCGCGTGGCGTCGCACGTGACGCCACTCCACTGGCAGTGGTCCGTGGATTCCTTCCACGACGCCAGGCCCGACTGCGGGTCCTCGGTAATGGCGGCTTTGATAGAGAGTAGGGCACGGTATTCCGGCATCCGCGGCGGTGGTGCGGCGGAGGAGCGGCTGAGGTGGAGGAACAGAACAAGGAGGAGGACGAGCCATGGGAAACGCATTTTGCTTTCTCTCAACGTGTTTTGTATATTTCTTTTATCTCGCTATTTTCTGGAAGGGAAGAAAGAAGACAGTGCACAGAGACTGAGAGAGGAGAAGAAGAAAGAAGATAGCGCACAGTAATTTTCTTTCTCTTTTTTTGATTTTGTCCCGTTATCTTTGAGGACGTTTGCGAGATTTGGAGTTTTTTGCAATAAGAAAGAAAAATGATATGTTGTTATATAGAAGATTCAATCAAATCTCCTCACCAGCTCATAGTTTCATAGTATAATATAATGTGGATAACATCATATTATACATTTCAATTTAATATTAACATTATTGTCTTTTAGTCTGGTCTAAATCGTTTGACTGCATATAATAATATAAATATAAAGAGTACGACGGTGACCCGCTTAGAGCATCTTCAGTGTTGCGCTACTCTAGTGTATTACGTTAGAGTAGAGAAAAAATTGCCCTCCAATGTTGCGCTACATCTCTGCACTACTTTAGGGTTATGAACAGTATCGCGCTACATCTGGCGCGATATTATTCATTACTCTACAATTTTTATTTGTTTTTTATTTTTTTTGTTATATGCAATTGATTTATTTTAAAATTCATTATTTGACAAAGTTTTTACCATTAAATTTATAATTTAATTTAAGAATTATATAAAAATATAATTATAAAAAAATATATTTTTATATTGAGTTACTATAAAATAAATCAAATATTATATAAAAATAATAATTATTTGTGGAACAATATTTTGAAGACCAACTAATATCATGATATATTTTATTTTATAAAATAATATGTCCAATTAAATAATATTTTGATATATTAAATAAATTAAATAATATGAACAATATATGTGAAGTAGAATGTAGCGGGAACGGTTGGAGACCAAATTTGATTTTTGGTTAACTCTACTCTAGAGTAGAGTAAATTCTGCACTAGAGTACAGATAAGGACTGGAGATGGTCTTAGCTATTACTCCATACAAGAACTTATATTCTAATAGTATACTAATATTCGATCGTATGCATAGGTAATAATACCAAAAAAAAAATTATATATTTAGGTGTGTTTATGTAAATTTTAAAATTATGAATAAGATATTGAGCATATCACATTTTATAAATTTTATCATAAGTAAGAATGAACGATATGTATAAACTATTTAACTAACATATTAATATTTATATTGATTTCAATAACTGATAAAATAATAGTAAAATTAATGTTTCTATAACAATTGTGTGTGAAATTTTAAAAGGTATGGTTATGCATGCAATAAAAAAGTTAATAGTAACTGTATATAATAAAATCAATAAAAAAATTAATTACTTCGATATAGGATTAGAACCCCATGTGGAAACGGCCATGTGGCCTAACAAAATTGGGTGAGTACGAATGGGCAGCCCACTCAAGCAGTCTTGGGCAACAAGGTATCGTCTCTATATATAAGGGAGTGAGGTATTCCCTTGATCACATTACATTCCCCATTTATTATATACATTTATACTGTACTTCATTTTCTACAAGTGTTAACTTAAGCATCGGAGACTATTCACCAGAATACCCTTCTGATGAGAGTTTTTGGAGGTCTCAAAGCGTTTAACCGTCGAGGAGCTCTGGAGCATGCCGAATCCGGCCAGTCAGAGGTCTTATGTGTACCATTTTGGTGTTGTCTGTGGGACATTCGTTCGAAAAGCTGTGAAAAACCATAGCCATGGCTGACGAGATTTCCAAGCAGAATTTGGAGTAGACTTTCGGCGACGTGTGGTTGAACTTACGTCCGCTCGGAGCAGGCCTACCTTCGGCCCTCTCCAAACCTTCGTAGACCATAGCGACCTTGAAACCTCATTTTGTGGGCTCAAGGGTCTCGTCGGTGATCCCTATTGCAGTCGCGGGCTCGAACAATCCCAAAAATCTCGAGCAGTGGTTCCAGTGCAGGTGCAGCCAGATTTGGTCCAGCCACCACCAGCGGGGCCATCAAGGAGTTAGGCCGAACGAGGGTAGCTGGTGACGATGTCGAGGGAAGAAGTGGAAAAGATGGTGTCCAAAACGGTCGCAGCCAAAGTAGCTCAATAAGCCTTCCACCAAACGTCCCACACCACCACCGCCCCAACCATGGTGGTGGGGATGAACCAACAGAAGACTGAAGTGGACCAGTCATGCAGTCGAGGAATTGACGTCCACAGAGATCTAGCTGTCGAGTGGATGGCGAAATAGATCCGCCAGCTGCAGACGAAGGTAGACGGAAAACATGCTAGCAATTTGATGAGGATAGTTTAATTATTATTATTATTATTATTATTATTATTATTATTATTATTATTATTATTATTATTATTATTATTATTATTATTATTATTATTATTATTATTATCTCTTATTTATCTTATTGAGTTGGATAGGAGAATCTTTTATTTAGGATAATATTTATTTATTGTTTATCAAGTTAGGAACTCTATTTATTATCAGTGTTAGGATGGAATGATCGATCAGTTGATTATTGAAATGAAATAAGATTAGATATAGTGAGTTTTGCGTGTTTTATGAGAAAGTATCTCGTTTACTCGTTTATCTTTCCGATTCGTTTACTCCATACATCAGAGACAAAGGCGGTCGTGTGGGAAACAACCATGTCAGGGCACCCCGACAGCGATCTCCGTCACCTCTGAACGGCAACGACGTTGGCGACTCTACTGGGTCGGCTAACCCATTTTACCTATCGACCACCATGGCGAGGAGACGATAACAACCTAGGTCAGTCCCGAGTTCGTGACCAGTGGTGGGCTGGAGGTTGTTTCGGACATGGTGGCGAGCGTGACGACAAGAAAACCCTAGGGGTTGTACGATTTCGCGGTCAACAGCAGCCTGAAGAGGTTTTTGACTACCAATTTTCGCTCATTCACGCAGCCCGAGATGGCAATTTCCAGAGAACTGCTTCAGGTTTCAGCTCCAATCGTGAATTTCGCAGACGAAGGCCGAATCACGAGGGCGTAGCCTTCCTGGGGTTCGATCTGCCGCAGCGCCGCTGGGACGACGAGTGCGAGGCTGCCGGCGATGGTGGCGCATACCAACGACGAATGGAGGCACCTGATTTCGACGAGTTGCATTTACCCTTAAGAAACTTACGGCGTGCTGACGCGGGCTGGGGTCGCGATGGGCGGCGCATCGTTGAGGACGCCGACGACTACCATGGTCGCGCAGCCTAGCAGGACGAGCAAACCCTAGGTGACTTATGGCCATGCGTACAACGAAGGTCAGTCGAAGGTCGTGCAGCGGCCTGGGAATTTAACGGTCGACGCGCCGTTGAGGGTTTTTCTGCAGCCGGCGACCGCGATTGGCGACAGCACGTGATCGATTTTGGCGACAGCGGGGGGAGAGAGGCTCGACGGAGACAACCTTGGGCAGCGGTGGTTTTTGGCGGGTCTGGTTTTCGCGATCGGCGGTGCGACACTGCAAGTTTTGCTGGTGACGGCGGCCACGATGCATGGCGAGGCAGCAAGAATGACGCTGGGCACATGGGTGCTCCATTTTTTGGATTTCACAGAAGAGCGGTTCAAGTACAGAGAGCAGAGGATGGACGCGGATTTTTGGCGTGTGTCGGGGATGAGTTAGGTTGTGATTTTGGACCTCAGCAGGAGCAGCCCACTCGCGATTTTTGGGCCTCTTCAGTAGCTGCGGAAATTAGGCTTGTGCAGAGGGATTATGGCAGCGAATTTGGTCAACGGGTGGGTCCGTTTCACGCTAACATTCCTAACTTCGACGAGTACGACAGTCCGCCCATTTTTTATGAGGAGCTTCCGGTGACGAAGACATATTTTTGCAGTAATATGCGTCCCGCGTGGGATGTCGCAACGGTTGAGTCTTCGAATGGGAAGCCGTCTTTCACACCCGATTTTTTGAGTATTTTGGCCAAAGATGTTTTTTCAGAGCCGACGCCGATGCTCAATGACTGGTGGGCCATTTTCCGATTGCCTATCGCGAAGTCTCCCAACAACGGGATGCTTGGCCGTTATTATGGATTGGAGCGCGACAAACGATGTGGTATATTTTGTGTTAATTCGGCTGTGTCGGCTTTGCGAATGGTGACGTGTACATGTGCCTTCGTTGTAGTTAAGCCTTTGACCGAGATTATGTTTATGTTCGAGGTTGTTGGAAGACCTTCAACATTCGTGTTCGATCGAGGGAAATGTCGGGGGTATTCTTATCTTGGGGACGACTCCAACAGGAATGGGTCGGATTCGAGGCGGAATCATGCTCAACCGGGGGAGAATGATGAGGATAGTTTAATTATTATTATTATTATTATTATTATTATTATTATTATTATTATTATTATTATTATTATTATTATTATTATTATTATTATTATTATTATCTTATTTATCTTATTGAGTTGGTTAGGAGAATCTTTTATTTAGGAGAATATTTACTTCTTGTTTGTCAAGTTAGGAACTCTATTTATTATCAGTGTTGGATAGAATGATCGATCAGTTGATTGAGAAATAAAATTTGTTCTTGTGTGGTTTATTGAGAGAGAGTATCTATTTTATCTTTCTCATTCGTACGCTTCCCTACCCTACATCACAATTTAAATAATAATTTCTATAGGTTCTTCTACACAATTCTTTTGTGTTATCAGTTTCTTTTGTTTTTAAGTTTTACAGTTATTAACTTTTTAGGTACTCAAATTTTCCAAGTGTTTTGTATACTTAATAGCTTTTAGTTTATTTTTCCAAGTTTAGCTATATTATATAGTTTCTTCTAATATTTTGGTTTTTGGTATTTTTAAGTTCTTGTAAGATTTAGTTGCAGGAAATTCTATAGCTTTCGTTGAAAGCCTGATATAATAATTGTGCAATGACAAGATTCATGAAACCAAAAATTAAGCTTAACCTATTATCTAAGAAATTTATATAAGCCAGAATATATATAATATATTTTGGTTGTAGATAAAATACGAAATTGCATAGGCATGTAATCTAGTTTATGATATCTTAAC